TTCAGTCAATTCGAATGTTACCGCACACTCTCAATGTCATTTTTACGTTATTACGGAGTATTATTCAATGTCATAATGTTGGGTACATTATTTTCTATATTTTAAAATTAACTTACATTTTTAAAAACATTTCATTCTTTTAGGAGTAGTAATAATTAGTTTTAGTTTTAGTTTTTCCATCTGCTTCCCTCCTACCTCTTTTCCTGGATCCAGTGATCAAAACTTTGCTGAAGTCAGATTCTAAGTGACGTATTGTCCATCACTCACTTCCCATTCTGACAGTGGATTCATGGTCAAATGTTAAACTTTCCCAAGTTCCAACTCTAAATAAATGGAATGTGAAGAGATTTACCCAAGTCCCAAATAAACTTATTTTAACTAATTCAAAAAAACTTTGTCATTTTATTTTTAAAGTAATAAACCTGTGTGGGTCATATGATTTTTCTTGTTTAGCCAACATTTATGGGACGAAGCCATGAAGGGAGTTTGAATATTATGTTAAGGACTAATACGTACTCGGTATCATACTTTATCAGTTTGAAAGTGACACTAATTTTAGGATTGTCAAATTGTCAATACATGCCTTCCTTTTCTTTTTAAAAAAATACATGACTTCTTTTTAAATAAAAAACATTTCTTTTGTGTGTGACAAATAAATACAGTATTTCCTCTGCCCCGCCAATTTGGTCTTATATTTACTTTATTCTTACATAAATTCACTCTTCCTAATAAGGCACAACTTTCTTATATCTCAATTCGCCCGCCAATTTGGTCTTATATTTACTTTATTCTTACATAAATTCACTCTTCCTAATAAGGCACAACTTTCTTATATCTCAATTCTAGTGTGACGATAGCTATTTTTTTTTGTTTTGTTTTTTGCATATCTTTCTAAACCTATTATAGTAAGTTAGTAACCGCTTTAGTTAATGTCAATATTCTTCTTTGCAATGAGACTTGAACTTGTAACTTTCTTTTTGAAGATCAACAATGATGTCATCCAATCACAAATCACAAGTTACTTGACATAACTAGTTAAATTATTTATTTACATCAAAAGAGTAACGAAAAAATATGTTGTTTCATACTACCTCCGTCTTAAAACTTTGTCAAGTTTGACCGGCACGAAGATTAATATAGTAAATATTGTATAGTTGAACTTTGTACAAAGGAGAGAGAATTAATTGGAACCACAAATTTTTTACTTAAAAGGGAAAATGACAAAATTAGTGGGACATCCAAAAATGGAAAGTTGACAAAGCTTTAAGGGACCTAAATGATGTAACCGTTGTATTAATTACAGTATTATATGTCGTCCTCAACTGTCACATGTGAGGGCGGATAGGTCCGTGATTTGCGCTACAAGTTGAAAAAGAAAAAAGAAAAGCGGTTTGGGTGTGAAAGTGAAGTGGAGGAAAACACTCCATATGCATATGCACACCATTAATATCTGCTTGGGAGCATTTAATTTGTCTGCTAATTAAAGAAAATTGTTGGGAGATACCATAAAATGAATCTAACCTCTTTGCTGAATTTGTCATCTGGAGCTAAGAATCTGTTTCCCTGGCTGTTGATGGTGGGATTAGCACTCCCTCCAATTGCATACATTTCCCAATGAGTATAGTCATAGTTCACAACATGGAAGTATCCATGCCTGCACCTGCATTTTCATAATTACTACCTCCGTAACATTGGGATGTTCCCATTGGAAAAGTAGGTAGATTAAGAATAGTGAAAGGAGATATGTATTATTAGGGGCATGATGGGAAGATAGTGAAATAATATGATGGAATGAAGGATAAATCCAAAAAAAGTAGGTGTAATAGTGTATTATTTTTAAAATTAATGAGGGTATGATGGGAAGATTTAGAAATGGGAAGATATTAGTGTTACGTCCAAAAAAGGAAAGTGAGAAGATATTTACGTTACGGAGGTAGTATTAACTAAAGAGAGAATTAATGGTTGGAATGCTGTAACATGAAGTTCTCATTTCTGCAGCAAATGTTTGTTTTGTCGATTTGTTCTCTTATCCCAACCCAATAAATAATGGGATTTCAGTTAGCATTATTTTGTATATTTGGTTGAATATTTTATAGCTTCTGGTTTTGGGACAATCACTTCACATGCTCTTGGTCTAAAGCAGTTATATAAACATGAAATTGAATAAATGAGTCAAACATATCTTAAACAGTTACTATACTCTAAATTATGGGTTCTAAACAAATGAAGGAATCACAACCGGCTTGATTATGATATCATATAAAGTTTCAAGATCCCATTATAAAAGGTTATCTTTGTTGGTTTTTATAGTCTGTGTTGAATTATCCCTTAAAGCCCTGCCACACCTCTTCCATGACATACCATTGTGTCAATGGACCCTTTTTAACATATTTTAAAATTATTTTGTGCCAAATTCCTTGGACTTCTTTTCTTGGGACAAAAACAGTGCTGCTTTTGAAAGCATAAAGATAATAAATCAATTAGAATCAAGGTTAGCTCCTGGATTAAAATTTCATATAAAAAAATCATATTAATCTTCACACCGACAGTTTTCCCAAAAGTGTCTGTATTTGTGCGTTTTTTATCTGTATGAACGGCAATTAGGGTGTACACCAACAATTTTCCAAAATAGTGATTCTCCGTAGTCTGTTAATGATTGTTTGCCTAATTACTTATGCCTCTCACCAATCTCATTAGTACTCCGTATATAAAATGATGATCACATGTATCCTTGGATCCAACTACCCCACACTCGTGATCATAGGTGGAGGGGGAGAATATGTATCTCAGACTCGATAACGAAAGAGCTGATTCACATTGGAACCCGATTCTGCAAAGCCTGATCTACTCCACTTCCGCCATTTATGGCGTATTGGCATTTCCAGCCTCTTTAATGCTACCACGTTAGTTGTGACTGTCGGTTCAACAGTTAGAGAAGACAAAATCAGCGCTGTGAAAAAGATTTGTCAATCCAGGAACTAATCAATGACCTCTACTTGTTTGTTTACTCTCTATTCAATTCTCTTCATTAAATTAAAATTTTTATATTCCTCTTTAGTCCATTTATGCTGCTGCTTGGGTCCCACTTTCCATGTGAGAGTTAGCCATCTTGTGGGCCCATCAACTTACAAATTAAAGGGGAAGAGACATTTCTTTGTCCCTTTTTTCTTTAAGTGTGGTTTTGAATACTGTGTTTTGGACCACACATGTGTGTGTATCAGACCTAGGCTGCAATTCTCATGTGCAAATGCCCATTTTTGCTGATCTACCTCATCTACATGGGTCAGTAGAGGAAAAGGTTCAGTGGATATATTTGTAGATATACTCTGAAATGATGTGTATTTATTGAGTGATAGAAATTAAGTGTCACTTTTTATCAAAACTAACACATGAAAGCTGTTGTACATAACATTGTTCTTTGAATATAGCCTCCCCATCCCATGTCTCTAAGCTACTATCACATGATAATTTCGCTCAATTACATAAAGTTATGTGAGTGGGGTTTGAATTCCCATAAGTTTTTAAGAAGAAATACACAAATACATTAAAAAAGAATAAAAACACAAATGATATGAAAGTTTAATTAGCTTACATAAACCATATCATGACCCAATGATGTAATACATTACTGTTAAAGAGTTCAATACCATGTCCTACTATTTCAATACCGTTTGCGGGTGGCATTGAGTATATTTAATCCAATAATTCGTCCAGTGCTTCTTAAGCAATCTTTAATGTTTTTCTTTTGTATATGTCATAAACTCCCAGTCTCCTAGTACAGTTTTGTCTTAGTTTTCAGCTTAAGAAACCAATGGCATTGATATTGCTTCATTTTCTTCCAAATTTCAGTACTACACTTTCATTTTTAAACACATAGTTATGATGGTATGTCAAGTAAAAACAAAAAGGTTATTGCCTAATGTATAAAAGTATAAAACAAATAATCCTTTCGCATTATGAGAAGAATTTTCTTGGTCATTTGTACTCCATTTTAAGCTTTTCGACTTAATATCGCGTGCCAAATTATGTAACACTACATAATTAAAATATGTAATGTTGTAATTATTTTGTCGGCTGATATTATTGTAGAAAATCATTTTAGCTTTTTTTTTCTTACTATAATGTTTTTACAATTCAACAGAATCAGTCGATGCAGCAGAAATTTCATGAACTTGAACATAATCAGCCGATTCAGTCAATTTCAATATTACACTATCACCAAACGAGCTCATTACATTTTCCATATTCAAATGTAGTTTTTAGAGTTCACAAAATTCTATAAATTTGAGCGCTTTTCTGCCTTTCATCACATCAAAGTCTGCCATAGTGAGCATGTTGCAGTGACTAAATTTACATGCAACATGAATCACCGAATTACAAATAATTGTCATTTCATATTCAAGGATCCAAGACCATCTTTTAGTGAAAGCCGAATACTTATATTCTTTCAACTTTCAAGCATTCCTTTTCCTATATTTGTTGTCATTATCCAAAAAGATATCCTTAAGTAATACGGAGTACGATTCATTGAAACAGAATTTGTTTCAAGTTTGGCCAGGACCGGCTCAACTAGTTAAGGCCCGAGATTCCGTTCATAAGTATAAGTGGAACATTCTCCCTGTAATGAGTCAGGCTGGCTCTTTCCACCACAAAAAATAACGGGATTGAAACAGATTCACCGAAGTTCATAGAGGATCTGACAGACATATGTCAAACCCAAGTGAAAAACACTTTGGTATATATGAATTATTTGACTAGAAATCATCGGTCTATCAATGTCAAACCGGTATCAACTCCGTTTTTTTGTAATATTCGTAAAAAACACATTAGAGCTAGCTAATCAGCTAATGTGCGCCGACCACTAATCAAGAGTCCATTTAGGGGAGAAAGTAAAGGGCGATTTTAGGCCCCAACACATCCCCGACACATCCCAAATTTTAGGCCCCGACACAAAAAATTAGTGACACCCTAATCTCACTATTTTGTGCAAATGTGGAGGCTCCAGTTATGTTCCCTTTAATTTGATGATCAAAATTTCAACAATAAAACACTAATAATGATAATAATTAATTACGGGATTTCATTGATATAAAATTGGTGTCAGTCACAAGTTTTGCCGCGGCGGCAGGAAAGAGCGCCGGCGGATTGAGTGAGAGAGGAGATGAGAGAAGAAGGGCGAGCACTTAAACTAGAGGCTCTAGCATAACTAGAAGATGATTCAGCTCCTGAACTCCTAAAGAAAGCGCCATTCATCATCAAATCCCCCTCTGTTCTCCAGTTCCAGTTCTTCCATTCACCCTCTCCTGCATCCTCATGCTTTGTTACCTTCACATTCACATTTAGTTTTGTTAGTTCATAAGTTATGACTTATGAAAGAAGAACACCTCAATGCTTATGGCTTGTTTGTTTGGAGGTTAACCTAGGTTATTGCAGGTTCAATTTCTAGTTGACCTCGTTTGTTTGTGTTTTTGCAACAAGAACCTAGGTTATGCGTTAATCTCACTTAACTCTCGAGAACCTAAAAACACCTTAAATTGAAGAACCTCCGAAACGGGGGTTTGGAGGTTAAGTTCTCGGTTAACATAAAATGAGCTAGAGTACCTTTATCCAAACAACATATATTCCATTAACCTAGGTTCACCTTATTTATTTCCAAACACTATTTTACGCATAAACTTAGGTTCACTTAGGTTAACTTAGTTTTTATTAAAACTTAGATTTACTTTATTGCACTAGGTTTACTTAAGTTCACTCTATCCAAACAGACCATTAGTCTACACACTATTGTCTACAAAAGAATGGGTACATCATATATGTGAAGAAAATTCAAAGCTGGTTTGGTTACAACTATTTTTTGTTAGCCAACTCTTCACCAAATGCATAACTTGTTGGGTAAGGATGTTTTCTTTTGGACTGAAATTTACAGGTATGGTCTGTTCTGGTCTGGTCTGTTTAAACTTGATCAAGTCTAGTCTAAACTGGCCTGGTCTGGTAAATGTATGGTCTCTGTGTATTTTATAAATGTCCAAGTCTGATCTGGTTTCGTCTAATCTTTTTAAATCCGGTCTAATTTGGTTTGATCTGTTTAAGTCCGGTCTAGGACTGAAAACAATCCAAATGAAAATATCCTAATAATCAAAATTAAGTAATGTTAGAGAGTTGCTTTTCTACCTGAAGTTAGTATGATGATTTTAATTATTTTTATTTATTTTTTATTAATTTTTTTAGAAAATATATACTATCCTAGTAAATCTAATTATTTCTTACTACAATAAATTCAACCATTTTAGTCATAATTTCATCAAATTGTGCAGATTCATCCAAATTTCAAATTATCAAACATACTCTCAATGTTGACTACATTATTTTCTGTATTCTCTCCTACCCTCTTTTCCTGGATCAAATGTGGTCAAAACTTTGCTGAAGTCAGATTGTTTAAGGAATCACCTATCATTCCTTCATTCACGGGTAGTGCTATGAAGTGTGAACTCAAGTGACGTATTGTCCATCACTCATTTATTTAAATAGTGAGGTTATACTGAGGTAACCCTTCCCATTCTCACAGTGGATTCATGGTCAAATGTTAAACTTTTCCATCCCAAGTTCCAACTCTATCTATGGAATGTGAATAGATTTACCCAAGTCCCAAGTAATCTTATTTTGGGTAATTAAAAAAACTGTGTTATTGGATTTTTAAAGTGCTAAACTTGTGGGTCATATTATTTTTCTTGTTTAGCCAACATTTATGGGATGAAGCCATGAAGGGAATTTGAGTATTATGATAAGTAGGAGAAAAGTACTAATACGTACTCCGTACCATACTTTATCAATTATGGTTTGAATATGACACTAATTTTAGGATTGTCAAATTGTCAATACATGCCTTCCTTTTCTTTTGAAAAAAACACATGACTTCTATTTAAAAAAAAGGGGGAAACTGTCAAATAGGTCTTCGAACTTTCATAAAAAGGTCAATTAAGTCCTTCTATAGGAGGTTCTATCCGGGCATCGCGATTTGGGGCAGTTCCCGGTGGAATTATTTGATGAAATTTTTTGAGTATCTTATTCACCAAGTCTAGTTTACTCATACCAAATTTCAGCTAAAAATTCAATCGGGAACACATTCAAATTAATTCTTGAAGATAACTGCGCATTTTTTCTTTCTCGAATTAATTTGAATGCGCTCTCGATTAAATTTTTAGCTGAAATTTGGTATGAGTAAACTAGACTTGATGAATAAGATGCTCAAAAAATTTCATCAAAAAATTCCACCGAGAACCGCCCCAAATCGCGACGACCGGACAGAGTCTCCTATAGAAGGACTCAATTGACTTTTTTATGAAAGTTCGAGAACCTATTTCATAGTTTTCCCTAATTTTTTTTTTGTGTGTGACAAATAAATACAGGTACTTCCTCCGTCCCGCTAATTCGGTCATATCTTTCCTGATAAGTCCGTCCTATTAAGATTCTCCCATTCTAATCTTAGAAAAGTTTATGTGGTGTAAATCAGTTTTACTTTATTCCCACTTTATCAATTACAATATCTCTAACATAAGTTCACTTTTACTAATAACACACAACTTTCTTATGTCTTTAAGGGGACAAGAGCAAGTTTATTTATTTATTTATTTACATAAAAACAGTAACGAAAAAAATCTGCTTTTTCATGTCATAAATGATGTAATGTAACCGTTGTACTCCGTATTAATTACAGCATTATATGTCGTCCTCAACTGTCACATGTGACTATGTGAGTGACAGGGACGGATGGGTCCGTGATTTGCGCTACAAGTTGAAAAAGAAAAAAGAAAAGCGGTTTGGGTGTGAAAGTGGAGTGGGAGGAAAACACTCCATATGCATATGCACACCATTCATTTCCCCTTGGGAGCATTTAATTTGTCTGCTAATTAAAGAAAATTGTTGGGGGATACCATAAAATGAATCTAACCTCTTTGCTGAATTTGTCATCTGGAGCTAAGAATCTGTTTCCCTGGCTGTTGATGGTGGGATTAGCACTCCCTCCAATTGCATACATTTCCCAATGAGTATAGTCATTGTTCACAACATGGAAATACCCATGCCTACACCTGCATTTTTCATAATCATTAACTAAACAGAGAGTTTATGGTTGGAATGCTGTAACATGAAGTTCTCATTTCAGTTAGCATGATTTTGTATATTTGGTTGAATATTTTATAGCTTCTGGTTTTGGGACAATCACTTCACATGCTCTTGTCTAAAGCAGTTATATAACATGAAATTGAATAAATGAGTCGAACATATCATAAACAGTTGCTCTAAATTATGGGTTCTAAACAACTGAAGGAATCACAACAGACTTGATTATGATATCTAATAAAGTGTCAATATCCCATTATAAAAGGTTATCTTGATAAACAAAACCCTTATTACATTGGTTTAAAGTTTTTATATAGTCTGTGTTGAATTATCTTTATATAGTCCCTTTTTAACATATTTTTAAATTATTTTTGTGCCAAATTCCTTGGACTTCTTTTCTTGGGACAAAAACCGTGCTGCTTTTGAAAGCATAAAGATAATAAATCAATTAGAATCAAGGTTAGCTCCTGGATTAAAATTTCATATCAACAAAAAAAATCATATTAACAAAACAATACCTGGGCATCCTCTGAACCAGCCCTTCTCCAAAGTGGTTAAAGGCAATAGTAACTTGCATATTTTTGTCATTGGTGTAACTGTCACTGTGCCCCAAGAGCATGACCTTGTTGTGATGGGTCATGTAGTTGTTGGATATGGTAATGGCTGTGGATCCATGGATTGCATCTATCAACCCATCTTTGCAATTGGAGAGGGAGCAGTGATCAACCCAAATGTGGTGTCCTCCAAAAATGGAAATTCCATCACCATCCGAAACCGTCCGCCACCCGAAGTGCTCGGGGGTGTCCCTCACATAAGCATTCCCCCCTTGCTTGCAATCATGGATGTTGAGGCCATGTATGATGACATTGTTCACATCCTGGATTGTTATGCATGGCCCTCCAGAAATGTGCACACTTGCTCCTCTTCCATCTATGGTCTTGAATGAATTGACCATCAGTTCTTCCTTGAGCTTTATCCCCGTGTCGCGGGCGAAGATGATCCATAACGGCTCGTCTTGTATCGCTCCGTATCGGAGTGTCCCGGGCTTGGGATTCACAGCATCATCACTTGAGTCTGTCACCACATATATTTTCCCATCCCTCCCGCCTATGGCGCGTTTCCCGAACCCGATTGCGCAATCCGCTAGCCTCTGCCTGTTCTTCTCCCAGTTCGGGTCACACCTCCAGCAATCATCAATTGGGTTCCCTGTTCCACATGACAGATATCCCAGGTTCCTCCTGGCTGTAGTTGCATTATAGATTTTCCTGCATTCAACCTCAATTGTGAGCAATCATGCCCAAAACCATGTCTTAGAAAGGCCAGACAATAGGTCTTTAGACTACCCCTATTAACTATTTGTACTATATTGGTACTAATATATAAAACATTCAAGCAATACATAAGATTCCAAATTGTTCAGAACATTAATATGAAAACCGACATAATATGCTACATAGCCAATTTAAGTTGCGAGTAACTCAGTTGTGATTTGTTGACGTTTTAGGATGAAGCTATGTAACAGCTTAAGTTAACTACTAGTATCACTTCCAACTCTTTGTAATCTTTTTCATATATGAAAAATTCATTGAGAAATACTATAGTTACTCCATGAAAACTTACTAGATGAACTATTGAAAACAGAGGAAATTGTAAGACAGCCATTTTTTAGCTCCACCCAAAATTCAAAATTTTGTGTCCTAGCTACACCAGTGATTAGGATGTGTTTGGGTGGAGGGATTTGGAGGATCCCTTCCTCCAAGCAGACCTTTAAGCAGTAGCAAAATAAGAAGACAAAACAAGCAAAGACAAACTGGAGCAGTAAAGGGATCTAGGCTAGGTGGACATATATACTTAGAAGATGCTAGGAATAATGCTGTAAAAAAGAAGCAAATGGTGGAGAAAGCTTACTCATTGACTTCTTGGACTATTAGTTCTGGATCAGGGAATGGTGAAGAGAGAGTGGGAGAGGGATATAGAAGAGGGAGGAGGACAAAGAGGAAGAGAAGTGGCATTGCCATTTTTGCTGCTCTGTGAAATGGGGGAAGAGTGAGTTGAGGGATGTTTGTAAAAATGGGGGAAAACGTGAAGGGGTTTATATACAAGGAATGAGGTGTTAGAGAACAAGACATTGGGGCCCAACGGGCACTCCACCTCTCATGAATAAATTCAAAGTTTTCTTCTGCCGGTTCTGTGAAAAGAAGGATTTTGAATGGGCCATGGTGGGGTCTGTGACTACGTTCTAATTAGCTCCGGTAAAAATCGTGGATAATTCTATTAATACACTTTTTAGAGTACATTTGTGTACTTCCCTCTTCTTTATTTAATTAAGAGCTCGTTAGGTGGGTTTTTCGAGCTAATACACTTTATTTAATTTCGAGCGTTGAATTGCGTAATAATAAGAAAAAGTAAGTGATAGTTACTTTTCTAATTGTATTGCCTGAAATTACGCAGATAACCATTTTAGCTATTTTTCATATATGTTTTTTCTTTATTTTATTAATAAAATATAATTGTGCCTATTGGCAATAGCTTTTAATGTTGCAGAAAAAACAAATAAAAATAAATAAATATATATTCAGTCAATACAACCACTTCAGTCAAAAGTTCATAAATTTCAACAGATTCAGCCGATTTTAGATTTACCAAATGAGGTCTAAGTTTTGTTCTATTATGTAAATTTCATAAATATAAAACTATGCATATAACATGTGGTTGATTGCATATATTTTACTTTATTGTCTCTAACATAATTATAATTGTTAGATTAATTATAAAGTATGCTACTAGCATGTAGAATTTAGTAACGAACGATGTTTTCATATCTGTACATGTTACATGTGAAAGTACCCATCTTAATCTTATTATTATGATGACAAACAACCTTAATTGCTCTCAGATAACAACGATTTTGTATTTTATTTGTAAATGAAAATTGAAATCGTCTTTTACTCACTTAGTTGTGTTTGAGTTTTTATTTCATCTTAGAAGTGATTAGAACTTCAAATAAATTTTAATTTTTGTGTTGTGAATTTTTGTCATTATATGTGGTAGAAAGTAAATTATGTATATGTTCTTGGGATTGGAAAAATATTATGTTAAGAACCGATAAAAGCAAGAATTGAAACATTTAGTCTTGATTCGATTCAATAATGGTTCTTTATCTTTTATAAGAATAGAACCGATTTCATCAGTTATTTCTTTTATAACGGTTTCTTAAATTTTGAGTAAGAATCCAACTGGGCGCATATGTATTCTCACCATCATCTATACACTACCGTAGACAAGATATCATTCTTGTCCAATTAACTTCCCTCCCTAACTTACGTGAGAACCGTCACCGATTTGTAACTACCACATGAGTTAGAAGATCATCATTTTAGAAAATTTTTCCAAATTGAGCATTATGATAATAACCTGAATTCTAAGACCTGTTTCTAATTTAATCTCACTTGTGTTTGAATTTCGAACTAATCATCGAACAACTTTGATGTATCTTTTTGATGGATCTAATTTCTACTATGCATGTTTTTTAAAGTGATTCAATTGTTGGGGACGTAGCTCAACTGATAGATATAAATAACACAAAATTAGACTCGCTATATGTGAGTTTGTGATCAAAATCAAATTTAGAATTAATTGTCCGACTAATGCTAGCGGGATGTCATTCATTCTGGTAAACGATACTATATATGTAAACCATGCTTTTTTGATTGATTGGTATTGATTGGTATTGATTGACTGAACATGTTAGTAAAGTTAGTAGCCCACGGTCAGTCATACCTTCACGAGGAAGGCTCATGATATAAATTTGGATCTATAATTAAGAAATGCCAAGTAATTTTGTATACTTATTTAGTTATTTATACTCCGTATAAGAAACACGCACATGAAAGAATTATTTTGATATAAATATTATACTCCCTTACATTATTACAGTATAATATTACTCACTAGTGACTACAATGAATTACATAAAATATTTTATGCATTATACTACGTATATCACTCCCTTCGAAGGTAAAAGATAGAAAAATAATACCAATCACACACATAGAATTGGACCAGGCTAGGACAGATTTATTCCAGGCCTATACATGAACCATTTTTTGAACTGGTTCTATTGTTGATTCCGGTTCCATTCTCCAATTCTAAATTCTGATTCGGGTAAGAAATGAACTGATTCTGATTCAGAATCGTGTCCAATATTAGGATCCTCGAAGATTACGCCTCCAAAACAAGAACCCCACTCCTTAAACCAAAAACGTCGGTTGATAAGGTAAACAGTTACTAAGAGGTGTTGAGGTCTTTTAGTTGGGATCTCAAATTCCCAATAGTAGAAAGAAAATCTATGAGGACAAAGTTAGTGATCAGTGCAATAATTTTGTGCTAAATAATGAGGAGCACATGGGGGTCTTGATCAACTATTTCGGTTAATCTATTGTTACATGCCTTTGAGTATAACTAACCCACTCTAATTACTCAATCAAGTTCATTTGTACACGTCCACTACAAGCTTAAATTTGAGCTCATTACGCGCACTGGTAAAACGGCGAGAAAGTTGGACAATGACCAATGATCAAAACCTCACGCGACCGTGTGGAAATCACAATCGTCGTTATTTACATTCTCCCGAATGCTCTGTCAGGTCGGGGTGTGGGAGGCCCATGTGGTTGGGGATTCAACCTTTGGGATAATTGAGTTTGAACTCATTTGCTCATATCTTCTTGTTTTATTTCAGAGTATCCATTCAAGCAAAACTCTTTAGCCTTTGTGAACGTGTTATTTTTTTTGTGTGAATTATGCTCACAAACAAAACATATTTTTTAGAAACCATTCATAAAAAAATGGATGTTCACTAATAATCTTTTCCTATAATGATCATAACATGTGCAGCACGTTACTATACATCTAAATATATACTCCGTAATAGACCATAGACGAATTTATAGACTTATAGCCATGAGCCATCTAATGGGGTTAGACGTTGATTCCGATTCTTTATTCGTTTTTTTTTTTGGATGAAATGTAAATGTATTAACACCCAGAAAAATATACATCACATAAACTAGATCTCCTAAAACCCCTCCACCCCCACATAGTGTGAGGGTGAGAAGAGGTATTTATTCGATCTACTCTATGCCACAATTCACCAAGTAAAAAACTCGGTGCCTCTAGAGGTTCAAAACAACATACATCAGTGCAGCCGGAGCACACACATCAATGCGGCCGGAGCACACACAAAGTGACAAAGGTCAAAATTCAATCAACCTACAATGGTTGCTGCGGTACATACATACTACCCATGCCGCGGCGCCCAAAGATGTCGATGCCTTGGCATCCAATATTTTCATGCTTCGGCGGGCAAAAAATCATTCGGCATTCATAATATCCATGTCGCGGACTTCAAACTCAGAACTTCACCAAGTCATGTGGGTAGATACTAAAGAGTATTTTGTACACCACATGCTTGGTTTTGGCGACAACATCATCTTCAGTCTTTGTGCCTTCATCAAATCTCGCTTCATTCCTTGCTTGCCAAATATGATAGACCGCAGCACAAAAGGCCAGTCGCCCTGCCTTGGCCTTCAACGTTGATCCCTTGCGTTTTTTAGAAATCCATTTGATTGCACTTAGGAGCGTATTCATCTGATTCCCGAAACCGATCCATGTCCTAACTTTTTCCCATACCCTGCGCGCAAAAGGACAATGAAAGAAAAGGTGTGGAATTGTTTCCAATCCACCCTTGCATAGATCACATCTGTTAACGATATAGAGGTAACCGAGGCTATCCTGTGTAGGGAGCCGGCCCCTCAGGGCCAACCACACAATGAAAGAGAATTTCGGAGGAATATAGGATTTCCAAATGAAAGTCATTGGAGTCCTAGGAGTCCCTCTAACTCTTAGAAGGTCATACACTTTACCCGACACCAATTTACCATTGATGCACATCGCACTTAGACCAAGTATGGTCTCATTTAGATTGTTAAAGCACCCACGAAGTCTATCCCGAATGAGACTCAACCTCTTCATAAGTTGTGAGTCTCGACCATGTGGAACAAATTCCCACACATTTTTACCATGAAGATAAACGCCATTAACCCACCGCACCCACAAAGTATCCTTCTTTTTGTGGACATCCCACAAAGTGCGGGCAAGTAAGCTATCATTCCAGACTTTGGCATTGTGAATACCCAGTCCTCCTTCCATCTTTGGAAGGCAGATGTCAGCCCAAGCCACCTTAGAGTATTTCCCACCCCATAGGAAAATCCTACAGAGTGACACTATCCTATCCAGAACAGATTGCGGAACCGGAAATATTTGGAGCCAAAACGATTGGACCCCTTGGATCACCGATCGGATTAGCTCAAGTTTGCCAGCGTAAGATAGAGTTTTGGTGTTCCATGCTTTTAAAAAATCATTGACCTTATCAAGTAAGGGTGCATATTGTGCAACTGAAATCTTAAGTGGGGCAAGAGGTATTCCCAGGTATCTTACCGGGAATATGCCTTGCCCATAATCAACTTTATCCAAAATGTTTTGAAGATCTTGGTCCCTCACCCCACCCACGAAAATATTAGATTTTCCGTGGTTCACCCTAAGGCCCGATACATCCCCAAAGTCTTTTAGAGCATTTACCAATATTTCTACAGAATATGTGTCACCTCTCGAAAAGAGCATAAGGTCATCTGCATAGGCCAAATGGGTAATCCCCAAAGAGGAACATTGGGGGTGAAAATTGAAATTCTCCCCTTTGGTTCTCATCGTGAGTAACCGGGAAAAATATTCAAGGCATAGTACGAAAAGTAGCGGGGACATTGGATCCCCTTGTCGTATACCTCGTTTACCCATAAAAAAACCATACAAAGAACCATTCACAGAGACCGAGAATGAGGCAGTGGATACACATTCCATGATCCAACCTATAAATCTAATTGGGAAGCCCAGGCCCACTAAGACATTATGGAGAAAATCCCACGATATTGTGTCATAGGCCTTACGCAAATCCACCATAATCATACACCGAGGTGAGATTCGCTTCCTATTGTATCCTCTAACAAGTTCCTGGGCAAGGAAAATGTTATCAAACATTAGGCGACCATCCACAAATGCACCTTGGGCTTGATTAACCAA